TCAATGCTCTGTGTTTGTTTTGTGTTAGGCTTCTACCCGCCTCCCAAACGCTGCACCCCGACACCCCCAGTCCTTCGACCTGCTGCACTAGAGCAGGGTGATAAAATACCATGCCCAATTGTTCTTAAGCCCAGAAAATTTATTTTCTGGAGTTTAAGCTGGCATCATGAGTTGTTAACCCTGTTAGAAAAATGCAAGTTGGATTTATGATCCCCTTACACAGGTAATTGGGCCCTAATTTTAAAATCTGAGCCAATCGATTTGTACTATATTGCATGATAACATAACAGAAGTGCAATTGAGTCCAGGCGATGTGTGACTTTGAGCCTCCAATTATGCAATAAATTAATTTTGGTTCTTTAATAAATGATGCCTAGGTTGACAGCAGCTTGTCGTGGTTCCCTCTGCCTCCCCTACTCTGCAACACTCTCCTTTCTTCTTCCTACCCATTTTTTCCGCTTTTCCTTCCCAATCCTGCAAGGTTTAGGAATGACTTGTTTCAGAAATCAAACCTTGCATATTAAGACCTTAAAAGGGAATTTCGTGCCTCGTCCCTCCCTGTAAACTGTTGACATTTCATTTCAATCCCCAACTCATTCCTGATGGGTCACTATTATGTATTGCCTGCAGGATTGGCTGTTAAGCTACCAGTTACATAAATTGCCTTTGTGGTGTCTGACAGTCTCTCTAGGAGATTCTGTCTGGAATATTGATACTTCCTTGACCTTTCCATGAGGTCCTAGCATAGGCCCTTTTAATAGGCTAGATTTTCCTATCCTTTCTGTGCCTTTTGAGATAATTTCCCCCTTGTATTTATTTTTAGCTGGTTGTATTGTATGTATTTCTGCAAAATATATCAAGTTATTTTTGGGACAAGGGTAGGATATAAATAAATAACACATACTGCTGAGATCAGTTTCTGGAAGACTTGAGTTATCCCACAGTCAGAGGCAGTTAATTGGAATCTGTATCTCAAACTTTTCCTTCTTTTGGCAAGCCCTTGTTATTTGGAGTAAGGGGCCGTTTTAAGTGAGACTTTGAGCATTTGTCGGAGAGATCAATGAGGAGAGGGCAAAGGAGGAAGTGGGGTAGTGGAAAGAGTCCTCCAGTGAGGGCCTAGGGAACCGGAGTCCCAGCTCATCCTTCTAGGAGGCTCTGGGCAGATCCCTTCTTGGCTCGGATCCTCGCTCCCCTCTTTCGCAACATGGCTTCCTCATTGCTGTAGCCCTTCCTAATTTTAGGAGTTCATAACAAGGGGTGCTAACTTTGGAGAAGACTGTAGCCTCTGACTCTTTAGTACTCCTTGTGCTGCTTTATGTTATTTACTTTTTAAAGATTTATTTATCCATTCTGAGAGAGAGAGAGAGAAAAAGAAAGAGAGAGCAAGCAGGGGGTGGGGCAGAGGGAAAGGGAGAGGATCTCAAGCAGCCTCCCTGCTGAGTGGGGAGCCTGATCTGGGGTTCGATCTCACAACCCTGAGATCATGACCTGAGCTGAAATCAAGAGGCAGACGCTTCACCAGCTGAGCCACCCAGGAACCCCCTCTCCTGTGTTGCTTTAAACTTTTATCCTCCCTAAAAACAAACTAAACTGTCTGCTGTGGAGTATTAAAAATACTCAGGTATTGGATAGCTACCCTGAAAGAAATATTGTTTCCTACCTCTTTCTGCAGAAAGTATAGACAGCAGTCCCCTTTCCATGCCTTTCCACATAGGTCTGTTTTCCTGGGAGTTCATAGCTGAAGGTGATTTCTGAGGGGCTCCATGCAGGGTTATGGAAGAAAGACATGAGGAAGCTCTGGGGAAAATTCTGTATTGCACTAAGCAAAGAGCTCTTGCCATGTCCAGAATCACTTCATGATCATGTGCAATTCTGAGCTGCTTAGTAAATAAACTAGAGCATCATAATTGCTGAATGATAACATTGCAGTTTTTGTTATACACAATGTGTTCTGAATTACTTCAAGAATACACGGTTTTCTCTATTTTTCTTTTCTTTTCTGGTAAATTGTTTGGAGTCATGCAGGGAGGAAAGTATTCTGATTTAAGGCCAGGTGAAGAGAGTGAAATCATCAGTTATTTTATTATTTTTTTTCTTTACCTTTACTCTTACAGCTTTAATTATTTGAGTAACTAAGTAGTTTGACCCTACCTTTTAAGGTCATTGGTGAGGTTCTTTTCCTTAAAACAAAACAAAAAAACACAACAAAAAACCCAAAACAAAACAAAAACTTTTTTCTGATTTCATTTTCTCCAACTCCTTCTATGTTAAGGAAAATTTCCCTCCACAGATAATCATGTTCGTATTTTTGCAAAGTTCTCTTAAAGCATCTTTAAATGTACTTTTTTGGTTGATTAATTTAGTCATTGTAGATCCTTGAGCACAAAAAGATGAAAAATCCTTGTAAGGAATTGAATCTGCAAGTGTCTTATATTTTATCATGAATAGATCTAAAATGTTTTATTTTTTGACAGCCCAAGACAAAGGATGATGACTAGACATCTGACTTAACTATTAGAGAATTATTTTCTTCGTCTTAGGGAATTTATGGGATTCTTTCAAATGGATATGGACAGAAGTAACTAGATGTATACCACTTTTCCCACTTTGTGATTTGAAAATGTCTAAAAATACATATGTATGATTTTTACATCCTTGGCCCTATGTTATTTTTCAATTTAGGATATAAGCATTAGGAACTTACTAATTTATTCTGGTAATTATCTATTCTCTTAGTTGCAAATACTGGTAGGTAATTTTCTTTCGGTATAACTCTGAGCCTATTGTTAAAAGCATATTTAAAATCATTCCATTAAAAATGATGATCCAAATTTGGTGAAGTTCTTTCTGACCATCTGGGCTGTTGCAAAAGTTGAAAAATCTAGGACACTATCAGGAATGTCACCAATAGCTAGTAATTTGAGAATAATTTAATGTGAGGAATATGTTGAAAGACTATTTTAAGTCCACGTATTTCAAGTAGGTTTTATTTATTCTAATCTGGGAACATATGAATTGGAAAATTCTCAAGGTAAGCTCTTGGTTGTAAAGTCTTTTATAATGATGACCATCCATCCAAATCAGCAGTGATCATCGAGAGTTGGAGATTATTGTTGAATTTGGAGAGAGCTGAGACTCTTATATCACTCTTAAATAGTTGAAGTTGTTATAGAAACTGCATATAAAATATAAACACACATGTACATGTGGAATGAGCAGGATATTAGAATGGATCTCTTCTTGTCTGAGTTTTCATTGAGGTGCCTATGGTATCTATCAAAAGACCAACTATCCCATATGTAGTATGTCATTAGTCTGCCTTATGGCTTTTGAATATTTAAGAGTCAAGAGGGGGTTAGAGAAGAAATTTCTTTGGAGAGAGCTGTGGTCATGCAGTGAGTTGTCACCACCCCCTTGGGAGAAGTGGTGGTGAGTACTGTTTTGTAACCCCAAATCCAGAGAGGTGTCATCAAAAGGACTAATCAGAGAGCTCTGAATTGTGTTTCTTGCAGTTGGAGGACCCAGGAATTTAGAGCAGCCCATGAATCAGTGTCTGACTCAACCTAGGAAATCTAGAAGGGAAAGCAAAGACAGGCTGTCAACTATGTGGGTGGTAGGATGGGTGTGCTGATGCTTGAGAATTGGCTTGCTTTTCCAGGCTTTGTCAGAGCATGAGATATGCGAGTGTTTCCTAGGGACCAGATCCAGACTGCAGAGGACAGAGCCAATGAGGAGTTGTTTTGAATCTAGTCAAGAATTGCAACTGAAGGAGGTCAGGGAACCACAACATATGAGGTCCAAGGGAGATTGCTAGATCCTTGGGGCTCAAGGAGAGGTTCACAAAGAACAACCCAGAGAAGAGTCTAGGTCTAAGAGAAGGACCCTGCAAGGAACCTCTGCATAGTCCATGCAGACTCCCCCAAAAAACTCAGCATCAGGTATACAGACACAGACAACTCCTTTTTTTTTTTTTAGAGATGGGTGGAGGGGGGCAGAGGGAGAGAGAAAAAGAGAGAGAGAGAGAGAATTTTTTTTAAAAGTTCTTCTGGGAATAAAGTCTAGGATTTTTTTTTTAAAGATTTTATTTAGTTATTTGAGAGAGGGAGAACGAGAGGCAGCATGAGTGGGGAGGAGAGGGAGAAGCAGGCTCCCCATAAGCAGGAAGCCTGATGCAGGGCTCAATCCCAGGACCCCGGGATCATGACCTGACCCAAAGGCAGACACTTGACTGACTGAGCCACCCAGGTGCCCCGAGAGAGAGAGAGACTCTTAAGCAGGCTCCACGCCCAGCATGGAGCCTGATGTGGCACTCGATCTCATGCCCTGAGATCACAACCTGAGCCAAAATCAAGAGTGGGATGCTCAACTGACTGAGCCACCCAGGCGCCTCATACAGATAACTCCTAATATGTACTCATGAACTACAGGCCCATAGAGAGCAAAGCTGACTTGTAACAGAACCAGCACAGGAAGAGTTCTCCTGTCCCTTAATTTTTTCAACCTTGGGAGAATCAGAACATTAGCTAGCAGGGTAAGGGCAGTATGGGGGAGAAGAAGAAAATCACCATGACCATTACCCTATTAGCGGTTTCCATATTGAAGCAGGACTAGGGAAGAGACTCAACACAAAGGCAAGGACAGATGTTTGCTTAGTACATGTTATGGCCTTTCTGTTTGTAACTTGAAGTGGTTCTAGGACTGTTTATTACCTGTGAAAAGCAAACTAATGGGCCTGTTAGAGTTTTTTATCTAAGGGCAGAGGAAGATCATTAACACCTAATCAAGTTTAGAGGGACAATGGGCAAGAAAGTAAAAATGTTTTATGTTATGAATTATGCTTGTTCAGCATACTTGTTACATAAAGGTGTAACTGTATGTTCATTTCTGAATAGAAATGATATCTATATAACTCCTAAGTACATACCCATATATTTAACATATATCAATAAATGTAAGTACCTATTTGGACTAATCAAATCATTTTTCGGTAAAATAATTTGCTTTGGAACTAAAATTAATTTATTTCAAAATGTCAGTATTTCAGTCTGTCAAGTAAGTTATTAAAAATTACTTTTCTCATTTTTTCTTTCTATTTTCTCCCATTTTAAGGTTTAAAGTAGTCAGAATTCTAACAAAAACATTGGGGTAGGACAGACATCTATGAAGAAAAGAGAGATGGATACAATGAGGTTGTCAGAGAGAGAGAACAGTTAACTTCTGTTTTTTTTTTCAATCTCCCAAACCTATCTATTCTAGAACATCTTTCCTCCAGTAGAGCATGTCCTCAAATATGATACCCAGGATAGTAAGAGGAATTGTTTGAAATAAAACTGGTTCCTAGTGAAATATGTTTTGGAAATTGATGTCCATTTACCAAGTCTTACTTGCTGGGATCTTCTTAAACTCCTTAGTGTATATTGTAGATTTCCTAAGTGGCTATGTAGTGTGTGGCATTGCTCAAACATGTTTGACCATAGAGTATTGTTTTGGTGAGGGCCATGCTTTAGAAACATACATTTAAGAACCCTGGGGATGACTGATGCTCTGGCTGAGGAACAGGCAACCAGTTCACCCAACTTGTAGAAGTGGCTTTGCTCAGGAGCAGGGATTCCTACAATGGAGGCATAGAGACTAAGGCTGAGAGATGCCCGATATTTATTCCAGAGACGTATACGAGTGAGCGAGTGGTCCATTCCTGTTCCTCTTCAGCCCCTGGGCCTGCAGGACTAACTTCAAAGACCAGCTGGTTTGTAAATATTTGGATCACATTATGGGATTGCTAGACAGACTATCAGGCTTGCTTGGCCTAAAGAAGGAGGAGGTTCATGTTTTGTGCCTTGGTCTGGATAATAGCGCGAAAACAACAATCATTAACAAACTTAAACCTTCAAATGCTCAATCACAAGATATAGTTCCAACCATAGGATTCAGCATAGAGAAATTCAAATCATCCAGTTTGTCTTTTACAGTGTTTGACATGTCAGGTCAAGGAAGATACAGAAATCTCTGGGCACACTATTATAAAGAAGGACAAGCCATTATTTTTGTCATTGATAGTAGCGATAGGTTGAGAATGGTTGTGGCCAAAGAAGAACTTGATACTCTGCTGAACCATCCAGATATTAAGCACCGCCGAATACCAATCTTACTCTTTGCAAACAAAATGGATCTTAGAGATGCAGTGACATCTGTAAAAGTGTCTCAGCTGCTGTGTGTAGAGAACAGCAAAGATAACCATGGCCTATTTGTGCTAGTGAAGCCATAAAAGGAGAAGGATTGCAAGAAGGTGTAGACTGGCTTCAAGAATTCTGAAATTTCCCAGCATGATAAACAAGAAAGCCTCTGGTTGGGCGCCTGGGTGGCTCAGATGGTTAAGCGTCTGCCTTCGGCTCAGGTCATGATCTCAGGGTCCTGGGATCGAGTCCCGCATCAGGTTTCCTGCTCCTTGGGAGCCTGCTTCTCCCTCTGCCTCTCTCTCTCTCTCTCTCTCTCTGTCTCTCATGAATAAATAAATAAAATCTTAAAAAAAAAAAAAAAAGAAAGCCTCTGGTTGATTTTGGACCAGTTTAATCTTATTATTTTAAGGTTAAAAAATGTTGAGTAAAATATTAAATGACATATTTTGTGCTGTGATTCCATTCTCTTTTGGAAGGATTTTCAGTAATTACATACATATTATAACCTAAAGACAAGAATCCCTGAGTAGACTATGAAGTATTTTTTAAAACCAGCAAAGAATGTACAGAAACGATTGCAGAGGTCTAAGTTGTTTTCTAGCTCTGAAACTTTCAAATGAGATATCTCTGAAAAAAATCTTTCTAAAAGACTAATCTCATTTTATCACTTTACCTGTATGGGAAAAGCTAATGCTTCCAAGGTTTTAAAATAAGACTTATATAAACTTATGCATATGGGTATTCCAATGAAAGATAGAGGACTGAGCACATAATTAGTTTCATCCCCTTCTCAAATCTTACTAACAGTGAGGGGGGTTTTGTTTAAAGACATTATCCTACAAGAACAACAACAACAACAAAAAATGGAAGTGACAAAAATGGCAACCAAATTTTGGAAGCTGGATATCTGATGAATGTTGAATGACTTAACAGACCTGAGAATGGTGAATTCTAAACTAGCACTGAGGAAAGCTGGAAAGCATCCCACCTTATGATGCAGATACCCTCAAAGGCTCAGATATTGATAGGAAGTGGAAAGAAGGATGAGGTGGGGCTGAAAAGAGAGACAGTTATACTTTCTTGCCCCCCAAAAAGATTGAAGGTTCATTCTTGCAGAGAGTCAAACAGAGTATCTCTGGACTAGGGTATGCCAAGCACAATTGTGTGTGGCAGTGCTGATCTGAAAATGAGGAATAACTGAAAGTTTTATACCAAATAGTATAATCCTCTTCTGCCTTCTCCTCCTTCTCCAAGAAGACACTGGCAGTAGGTAGGATATAGAAAGTCATCTTTAAGGAATCAGACCAGTGAGAGAAAAGACCTAAAGGTATTAACATCAAAGATTCCCAAGAAAACGGTGTAGCTAGCTACACTAGAATAAAGACCACATTTGACAAGCCTCACACACATATTGAAATTTCAGTCAGCTTTATAGTGTTCATTCATACTTAAGAGAAGATGGCAAAGGATCACCAGGCATTTGAGGACCAAAACATTATAAATTATGGAACATCAACAAACCAAAAAAGCAGGTTAGAGGAAGTAGAATTTTTGGGGGAGAACATTTCAAGAAACTATTGGAGTATCCTCAAAGAGATAAGAAAAGGTATTACTTTCATGAATATGACCAGGGATACTACTTGAAAAGGACCAAAGGGGAAAAAAAATAAGTTCTTGGAAAATAATAGAACAGAAGAAATGGAAAACTCAATAAAAAGAAGATAAAATAGAGGCATTCTCTCAGAAAGTAGAGCAAAAAGATAAAGATTGGAAAGAAAAGAAAGTAGGAGGCCCAATATCCAAATAACAGGAATTTTAGAATGAGCAAAGAGAGAAAATAGAGGGGAAAAATTTATCAAATAAGTCACCAAAGGGTATTTTCCAGAACTGATGAGTTTTTAGTTGAAAGGCCTCTTGAAATGCAGCAAATGAAAATATTACCACACCAAGGCTCACTATTACTTAATTTCAACACTGAAGACAATGGAAGATTCTACAAGATTCCTGGGAAGAAAATCAGATCCAGGCTGAAGAAGACATGAAAAGATAGTATTTGGAAACCTCAACAATTTTCAATTCAAGGAATGTATCTTAAGGCAAACTGAATACTTCAAATTTTTTAAAAGATGTTTGTGCATCTAAGAATACTAAGACTTTATAATCTTCTGCTTGCATTTGTGGATTCTGAATGAACTTTTTAAGAACATAGGACTTCAGGTATGCTAATCTGACCATTAATTATATTAAAACTAAATCTTTCCTCAGAAGGGCTCCTTCCCCCAAATTATGAAGTTCTTGGTAAAAGTTTACATTTGATTGTAATTAGAATGTTTAAAGTCAGATTTATAAGCCGTCTCAATATCTCATCATGATTTATAATATCTTTAATGCATTTTGTTTTTTAAATTGTCTTCTAAAATTTAGTTTATGATATGACTTTGCAGTATGATTGTGCTTGGAAAAAGAACTTTAAATATTTATAAGGGACCATGGGTAATTAATATATACATAAAATTTTTGCTATATGTCACTATCAATAAAACATAATATGCAATGTAAAAAAAAAAAAACCCTGGGGATTGTTCCAAATTTGAAAGATACCCACAACAGAATATAGATTCTAAATCTTAAAGATATCAGATGATTCTAATAATAAATAATAAGGAGTATTTACAGAGGATGGAAATATATTTTGCCAGGCAATTTGTTTTTTCTGGTTTGGATGACTTATTGCAGATACTATTACCATCGATATATGAAATGAGTATAATGGTATGAAGATGCTGAAGAACTAAGGCGGTCATTGTTGATTTTGTGGCTGAAGAAAATATGGGTATATCTAAAACTCCTGTCTGCAAGGCTTTATATTCACAGTATATGCATGGACATAACAATGCAAGTGACTTAGTTTTATTAAAATGCCTTTTTGCATTTGTGATCCCAGATCTAGAATTTACTTTTGTTAGGATGTACGTCAGAATTTATTTAATAAATAAATAGTGTCTTCTCGTGTATTTTATCTTGGGTAACTTGGAACACTTACTGTGTGAACTTCTAAATTTTTCCTTGCATTGGAAATGGTTCAGTTACAACCAGAATTTTGGGTTAGTTTTTTTTTTTCCCCATTGTATTTTTTTTTACTTTTTATTTTTTAATTTTATTATGTTATGTCACCATACAATACATCATTAGTTTTTGATGTAGTGATCCACGATCCATTGTTTTCGTATAACGCCCAGTGCTCCATGCAGTACGTGCCCTCCTTAATACCCATCACCGGGCTAACCAATCCCCCCTCCCCCCTCCCCTCTAAAGCCCTGTTTGTTTCTCAGGTCCATAGTCTCTCATGGTTCATCTCTCCCTCCAGTTACCCCCGCCCATTTTTCCCTTCCTTCTCTTAATGTCCTCCATGCTATTCCTTATGTTCCACAAATAAGTGAAACCATATGATAATTGACTTTCTCTGCTTGACTTATTTCACTTAGCATAATCTCCTCCAGTCCCATCCATGTTGATGTAAAAGTTGGGTATTCATCTTTTCTGATGGCTGAGTAATATTCCATTGTACATATGGACCACATCTTCTTTATCCATTCATCTGTTGAAGGGCATCTCGGCTCTTTCCACAGTTTGGCTATTGTGGACATTGCTGCTATGAACATTGGGGTACATATGGCCCTTCTTTTCACTACATCTGTGTCTTTGGGGTAAATACCCAGGAGTGCAATTGCTGGGTCATAGGGTAGCTCTATTTTTAAATTTTTGAGGCACCTCCACACTGTTTTCCAAAGTGGCTGTACCAACTTGCATTCCCACCAGCAGTGTAGGAGGGTTCCCGTTTCTCCACAACGTCTCCAACATTGGTTGTTTCTTTCCCTGTCCATTTTGGCCATTCTAACTGGTGTAAGGTGGTATCTCAGTGTGGTTTTGATTTGGATTTCCCTGATGGCTAATGATGATGAACATTTTTTCATGTGTCTGTTAGCCATTTGTATGTCTTCTTCAGAGAAGTGTCTGTTCATCTCTTCTGCCCACTTTTTGACTTGATTATTTGTTTTTTGAGTGTTGAGTTTGAGAAATTCTTTTTTTTTTTAAAAAGATTTTATTTATTTGACAGAGAAAGACACAGCGAGAGAGGGAACACAAACGGGGAGTGGGAGAGGGAGAAGCAGACTCCCTGCCGAGCAGGGAGCCTGATGCGGGACTCGATCCAGGGACTCCAGGATCATGACCTGAGCCGAAGGCAGTCGCTTAACCAACTGAGCCACCCAGGCGCCCGAGAAATTCTTTATAGATTTTGGATACCAGCCCTTTATCTGTAGTGTCATTTGCAAACATCTTCTCCCATTCTGTGGGTTGCCTCTTTGTTTTGTTGACTGTTTCCTTTGTTGTACAGAAGCTTTTTATCTTGATGAAGTCCCAAAAGTTCATTTTTGCTTTTGTTTCACTAGCTTTTGGAGATGTATCTTGAAAGAAGTTGCTGTGGCTGATGTCAAAGAGGTTACTGCCTATGTTCTCCTCTAGGATTTTGATGGATTCCTGTCTCACATTGAGGTCTTTCATCCATTTTGAGTTTATCTTTGTGAATGGTGTTAGAGAATGGTCAAGTTTCATTCTTCTGCATGTGGCTGTCCAATTTTCCCTGCACCATTTATTGAAGAGACTGTCTTTTTTCCATTGCATGTTTTTTCCTGCTTTGTCCAAGATTATTTGACCATAGAGTTGAGGGTCCATATCTGGGCTCTCTATTCTGTTCCATTGGTCTGTATGTCTGTTTTTGTGCCAGTACCATGCTGTCTTGGTGATCACTGCTTTGTAATATAGCTTGAAATCGGGCAACGTGATGCCCCCAGCTTTGTTTTTCTTTTTCAACATCTCCTTGGAGATTTGGGGTCTTTTCTGATTCCATACAAATTTTAGGATTGTTTGTTCCAGCACTTTGAAAAATGTCATTGGAATTTTGATCGGGATGGCATTGAAGGTTTAGATTGCTCTGGGTAGCATAGACATTTTAACAATGTTTATTCCGATCCATGAGCATGGAATATTTTTCCATCTTTTTGTGTCTTCTTCAATTTCTTTCATGAGTGTTTTGTAGTTCCTAGAGTATAGATTCTTTACCTCTTTGGTTAGGTTTATTCTGAGGTATCTTATGGTTTTTGGTGCTATTGTAAATGGAATCGTTTCTTTAATTTCTCTTTCAACAGGTATGTTGTTAGTGTATAAGAAAGCAACTGATTTCTGTGTATTGATTTTGTATCCTGCCACATTACTGAATTGCTGGATGAGTTCTAGTAATTTGGGGGTGGA